CCCTCAGCAACTTAGTGAGACCTTGTCTCAAAATAAAAAATAGAGGGAAAAAAAGACTAAGGAAGTAGGTCAGTGATATAACTCCCTGGGTTAAATCCCCAGTACAAAAAAAAAAAAAAAAAATTGCGACCCAGGGAGGTTAAGTGACTATCCAAGATCACAGGAAATGTTTAATGAAATGTCTACTTCTATCAGTCTAGCTTGTTTTCCATTACATAATGTCCATTCAGATCACACAGAAATGATGCAGTATTAATGACTTTTCATCTGTTACCTACCTTACTCTTCCATTCAGATTTATCTGAACATGCTGCTTAAAATCTGGGTATTTGGATGCCAGATATGCAAAGTCAGGAGGTATGTCCTTGTATCTATTTCTTTCGTGCATTGATTTAATTGGCGCCATCTTTAGGGGGAAAAAAAAAAGGTAAAAGATCAGCATATTTAGTTGAAAAACAATAATGGGGAAAGTCATGGAAGCCAAGTCAACAGTTACAGCCAACATGTCTTTTCCAGTCAACTCAGGAAGTAGAAATTACATTTTGAAAATGTACACAGTAAGCACATGAAAAGATGCACAACACTATTAGTCATTAGAGCAATACAAATCAAAACCAGAAGGAGATATCACTTCACATCCATTGGGATAGCTATTATAAACAAAATCAGAAAACAAGTGTTTGCAAGGATGTGCAGAAACTGGAGCCCTCATGCATTACTGGTAGGAAAGTAACAGAATGGTACAGCTGCTATGGAAAAAAAGAGTTGAGTGATTCTTTTAAAAAGTTAAACACAGGCTTAGTACAGTGGCACACACCTGTAATCCCAGCAGCTCCAGAGTCTGAAGCAAGAGAATGATAAGTTCGAAGCCAGCCTCAGCAACTTAATGGAAGCCCTAAGCAATTTAGAAGACCTTATCTCAAAAATAAAATATAAAGATCCTTCGGTTCATAGTACCCCATCTGAATCAAATGTATGATATGTCAAGTTCATTGTAATGTTTTGAGCAACTAATAAAAAATTTTAAAAAAATAAATAAATAAATAAAATATAAAACTACTGGGGATGTGGCTCAGTGATAAAGACTCTCTAAGTTCAATCCCTGGTACSGCAAAAAAATAAATAAAATAAATAAAAGTTAAACATAGGCCTCAAGCACTGCTAAAAAAGAAAAAAAATAAGTTAAACATATACTCTTCTTGCCATCTTGGAGCCGGTGTAGGCCTACTGAGAACAGGACTTCAAAAAGTTTGGAAGCCTGGGGTGCTGGCTGTAAGCGGAGTTCCCAGAACCAAAGGGAACACCCAGCTCTTCTTAAAACTGAAGGTATTTACTCTAGAGATGAAACTGAATTCTAATGAGACTAGAGATATGCTTGCATATACAAGGCAAAAAACAACAAAGTAACTTTTGGTGGCAAACTGAAGAAAACCAGAGTACCTGGGGAAAGGTAGCTTGTGCCCATGGAAACAATGACATGGTTCATGCTACATTCCAAAGCAAACTTTCTAAGGCCACTGGGCACAGAAGTTATGTGATGTTGTATCCTTCAAGAATTTAAACTAATGAAAAGTAAAGAACTAAAAATGGATTTGTGGGGGTTTTGGGAGGAAAAAAAAAACTCAACAAGAATTACCATATTGCTGGGCACAGTGGCACATACCTATAATCCCAGCAGCTCAGTAGGCTAAAACAGGAGGATGGCAAGTTCAAAGTCAGCATCAGCAACTTAGCAAAACTCTAACCAATTTAATGACCCTGTCTCAAAGTAAAATATAAAAAAGTCTGTGGATGGGGCTAAGAGGTTAAACACCCCAGGGTTCAATTCCCCATCTAAAAAAAGAAAAAAGAAAAAAAGAGAGGAAAAGTACCATATTTRGTAATTTTACACTCCTAGGTATATCCCCCAAAGAATTGAGTGCAGGAACACAAATGTACATCAATGGTCAAAGCAGCATTATTCACAATGGCAAAATGGTGGCAACAACTCAAGTGTCCATCAACAGACAAATGATTATACAAATGATTTGTACAAAAAGTATGGGCACATTTGTGTGTGTGTGTGTGTGTGTGTGTGTACACACATGAGGAAGGAGGACCACAAATTCAAAGCCTGCCTCAGCAACTTAGTGAGCCCTAAGAAACTTAGCAAGACCCTATCTCTGAAAATAAAAGATACTTAAGACTACATAGCTGACACAACACTCTGAACATGTGTGAAACAAATGTCAACGAGGTTACATATGACCAAGTTAATTACAAATATAATAAATTCAGTTCATTTCCTGCATTAGTTATTCTGGTCAGAACAGATGCAAAATGAGTCAATAAAGCTGGTTCTTTGCTACCCACCCTCCTAACAAGAACACTGGATTTTAATCTAAATATATCTATTTCTTAAAGTTTAGTTAGGTGTCAACTCTTTTTTATGTGTCTGAGCTACAACCCCAGCCTAGGTGTCAACTCTTACCTGGCATCAGCATTGTCACTCCCCACTTTAATCTACTTTTCCAGGCTTATTCTACTCTAGAACATAGAAGCCACATTGGTCTTCTTGCTATTTTCTATCAAGTCTAGCACACTCATGCCCTAGGGCTTTTGCACTTGCTGTCAGTGTGCCTGGACTGTTCTTCCCCCAGAAATATATACACTGAAAGTACCCTCATCTTATTCAGGTCTTCAGTCAAATGTCAACTTCTCATTGACAACTTTCCTAAGTACCCTATTTAAATGTGCAGTAAATGAATGCATCTTATTTTACTTCCTAGCTTTTATTTTACTTTCTAACTGTAGCCTTCTACATAGAATTTACCCTTTAGACATTTATTTTGCTTATGCCAATAAACTTCATGAAGAAAAATATTTTGTCTGCTTTGTTCACTATGATATCCCAGAACCTAAAACAGGGCCTAGGAGAGCAGGCACTTAATTATTTGTTGATTCAAAGAATGATGGGAGAAAAAGAAAGATCGAACGATGGAATTCTTTTCACTGTCCAGGTTACCCTTAATGAGTTGGCAGTCCCTTCCCCATCTTGAGTGTCAAAAAAAAGCTCAGCCCAAGGGCTGGAACTTTTTCTCCCGGTTACCTTAGTCCAGAAAGCTAAAGAAGTAGTATTCTTGAGGCTGACGCACAGACGTTYTTTGCTCTTTCTCATTTCCATGCTTCTGTTTCCTTGATTACTCATAACCCTTAACCTTCAATTACCATATTTCTTAACATGAAAACTTGTAAATTTGACTAAATTCTGCTTTTAGAAAGTCGAATTCCTTCTCAAATGATTCCTTCCACCTCGATCCTAAGCTCCGTTTTCTCTTTTCTCCTTCCCCCATAAATCCGACTTTTTCCACTTGTCCTGCCACTACCAGTTCTCCAGCTCCTCCACTCCTTCCACATTACTCCTTCCACCTTACCCACTCCATTTGTCTTCCCGCCTCAGTTTCACATCTCTCTAAACATCAGCCCCGAAGGGTCTTCCCTACTTCAACCCCGTCTTTCAACTCCTCCCACCCACTCATAACATGGTAGCGCGCCCCCGCGCCCGCAAACACCCACCTGCACCAGGTCTCCCTTTCTAGAGCCGAAGACAACATACCCCAAGAGCCCAGAACGCGACAATGAGGAAACTAAACGATCCATGGGATGTTGTTACAGAGGTCGTGCTAACAATTTGACCCATAATCGTAAACCCAAACAAAGTGTTAAGCAACCCACCTTTGTCAGCGATGTTCCTCACCGATTTTGTGCCTGGTGTGGGCCTGTAAAATCTCAGAATTTTACCACCCGCTGCGTGAAGCTCCAAGAAACGCAGATGTGACGCTTCCAGCGCGCCGCCATCTTGTGAAGCTATCTAACCTCGTGATTGGACAAGTCACTCTCGCGATATCTATGGCCTAGTCTGCAGGAAGATTAAACTGTCGCGATATCTGGCGTTTGAGGCTTCTTTTTGAGAGAAGGCTGGGGATTGGTGGTAAATCGAACCGGGTCCTTTGCAGTGTGACCAAAGGCGACCTGTTCTCGAATCTTCTAGGAAATATGGTATTTTTTTGTTTTGTGGTACAGGGAATTGAACYCAGAGGCACTCTACCCCTGAGCTACATCCCTAGCCCTTCTTATTTATTTACTTATATTTATTTATAGTACTGGGGATTTAATCCAGGAGAATTTACCACTGAGCTACATCCCCAGACCTTTTTTTATTATTATTTATTTATTTGGAAACAGGGATTGAACCCAGGGGCACTTACTCACTGAGCCACATCCCCAGACTTTTTTATTTTTTATTTTGAGACAGTGTCTGATTAAGTTACTTAGGGCCTAGCAAAATAGCAAAATTGCTGAGATTGGCTTTGAACTTGGGCTCCTCCTGCCTCAACCTCTTTAGTCGCTTGGATTGGAGGCCTGCCACTGCACCTGGCTTTATTTTGAGACAGTGTCTAAATATCTTAGGGCCTCAGTAAATTGCTGAAGCTGCTTAAATTTGTGATCCTCCTGTGTAGTCCTACAGAGATGCTGGGATTAAAGGAATGGGACACCACTCCTGGCTGCCCTTTTTATTTTTTATTTTGAGACAGGGTCCTGTTGAATTATGAGGCTGGCATCTAATTTGTGATCCTCCTGCCTCAGCCTCCATGGTCTCTAGAATTACAGACGTGAACCACCATACCTGGCTTTCTTCTGTTTTTAAGCGGCTTTCTGGGTCTTATTTTAGAGTTGCTAAATCACACTCTGGAGTTGGACTGGAATATGAAGGTTTTGGCGATTATTAATGGGCAGTTAGCACTTATTGTGCATCAGAGCTCTATGTAATGCATCATTTATTCATCAGAGACAAACCTGTGAGATGGGGGGTGGGTATTATTTCATTTACAAACTAAGAACTGAGGATCAGAGATGTGAAGTCGTTACACATCTTACATTCAGATGACATAAAGTTCACATTCCTTTTACCTCCTCATCTGTCTATTAAGCTGCATGTTCTGTTAATGCACTTCATTTTCAGCTAGGCTATACTCACTTTTACCCTCTGGTTAAGTAGAGTGAGTTTAGTCTTCCCATTTTACAGCTGAAACAGAAAAGTTAATGATCTTTTTAAAAAGCATAAAATTAGAAACAAATCTAGAACTAACATCAGGACCTAGAACCTCTTAATATTTAAGAAGAGGAAGTGTAGCTCAGTAGTACAGTGCACTTTTAGTATGCACAAGGTCCTAGGTATCCTCACCAGAGCCTCACATAAACAAAACAAAATAATAGCTTGCCCGAGTGCGAGTAAATGCAAAAGGCTCTGACAAACTATTACCATAAAAGTGGGAAATAGCAGAAAGTAAAGAATGGAGACCAGCTTTTTGCAAAACTGACTATACCCGCCCTAGGAAAAAAGCTCAGGAGATGTTTTCTTTACTGTGTAACAAACCATTCTAAAACATATGTGTTAAAACAACCACCATTTTATTTGCTCACAGTTCTGCAGTCTAGATTGTGATCAAACCAGCTGTTGTGCTGTCTTTGTCAGTGGTCCCGGCATCAGCTGGGGGCTGATTCAGCGGAAACAGAGGGGTCTCTCCTGTAGTCTGAAATTCTCCCTCACCGGTGGCTTTTCTTCACAGTCTCTCCAGCAGAGTATCCAGACTTCTTACACATTCACTCAGTACTCCCAAAAGACAAAAATGGAAGCTATTAAGCCTTCTTAAGACTTAGGTCCAGAATTGGCACTTTCACTATATTCTGTTGATTAAAGCAAATCAAAGGGCCAGCCTAGATTCAAGGAACCATGCTATGTTATCTTCCATTATTCAAAGGCAAAGTTCCATGGAGTCAGTGATGCAGCATATACCACAGAAAGTTTACTTTATTTCCTTCTTTCTTTTTTCCTTTATAGTACTGGGGAAGTTTTCTGTCTACGTTAATAATGACTTTGGGGCCAGGCATGGCACAGGCCTGGCGCAGGCCTAGCACAGGCCTGTAATCGTAGCTGCTCAGGAGGCTGAGGCAGGAGGTTCACAAGTTCAAGGCCAACCTTAGCAGTTTAGGGAGGCCCTAAGCAGTTTAGGGAGGCCCTAAACAAGACCCTGCCTCAAAATAAAAAATAAAGCAGGTTGGGGATATAGGTCAGTGGTTAAGCACTCCTGGGTTGAATCCCTGCCTCAAAATAAAAAATAAATCAGGTTGGGGATATAGGTCAGTGGTTAAGCACTCCTGGGTTGAATCCCTGGTACCAAAAACAAAAAACAATGACGACTTTATTTTATTTTATTTTTTTGCAGTATATAGTTCTTGCTTCTGAATAGGCAAAAGAAAAATTAGCCTTGGAGGTATAATTGATGAGATTGATAAAGATAGTATTTAAGATGTTGGTAGGGCTGGGGGCAGTGTGATGACACAGGTCAATAATCCCAGTGACTTGGGAGGCTGAAGCAGAAGGATCCACAAGTTCGAGGCCAGCCTCAGCAACTTAGACCCTCAACAGCTTTGAGAAACCCATCTCAAAATGAAAAGTAAAAAAGGGACAGGAATGTATCTCAGTGATAAAGCACCTCTGCATTTAATCCCCAGTACAAAAAAAAAAAAAAGATGTTGATAGGGCTGTGGATGTAGCTCAGTGGTAGAGTGCTTACCTAGCATGTGTAAGGCTCTGGGTTACACACACACACACACACACACACACAAAAATGATAAATTTCTTTATTTCCAAAGATAAGGTTCTACTTTCCTATAGGTCAGACCAGAGAGACCTAACTCTGCAGTCAAGAAACTTGAGTTTTAATCCTGCACCTACTACTTACTCCTTTTTTTTTTTTTTTTTTAATGGTGCTGGGGTTTGAGCCCAACTAAACTATATCCACAGCCTGCACCCACTGCTTACTAATTTTGTGATTATGGTCAATAAACTTTTCAAACCTCAGTTTGCTCAATTGTAAAACATGATGATAATCTCATAGGGATGTGAGAAATCAGGTAAATGTGTATAAAGCACACTTCTTGTAATGTCTAATACATAGTAAATTTCTTTTATTCTTGTGAAGCTGGGGATTAACCCAGGGCTTCATGCATGCTAAGCAACCACTCTACAACTGAGTTACATCCACAAAACCCCCTTTTTGCCTTGTTTTTGAGATAAGGTCTCTTGAACTTGCCAAGGCTGGCCTCAAATTTGTGATCCTCCTGCCTTAGATTCCCAAATAGCTAAGACTACAGACATGTGCCACCCTGCCCAGTCATAGTAAACTTCAAATTTGTTATTATTCCTTATAATGTTTCTAGTCAGTTTCCACTTTTTAAAAAATTATTTCATAAAGAAAAAACATTTTACAAACTAAAATTTTGTGAATAGCTTAGATATCACAGAAAGGTATAAGAAAATATTATCTAAAATCTCACCACCCAGAGCCAGTCACCACCAAATTTTGGTAACTTTATTCCTAAATCTCTATATAATCATAAGGATATATAAATCCAAATATAAATCTTGGAGTTTATCCTACTTTAGTTAATAAACTTCTTTATCTGTTTTTTTTGTTGTTGTTGTTGTTGTTTTACAGTACTAGGATTGAACCTAGGGGCACATTACCACTGAGCCATTCGCCCAGCCCTTTTTAATTTTGAAATAGTCTTGCTAAGTTGCCCAGGTGGCCTTGAACTTGAAATCCTCCTGTCTCAGCTTCCCAAGTGACTGGGATTACACGCATGTGCCATTGCATCTGGTCTTTATCATCTTTTGTGATAGGTGTACAGTATTCCATTGTATGGATGTATCACTTTTTTTTTTTTTTTAAGGAGAGAGAGAGAGAGAATTTTGATATTTATTTTTTAGTATTTGGCGGACACAACATCTTTGTTTGTATGTGGTGCTGAGGATCGAACCCGGGCCGCACGCATGCCAGGCGAKCGCGCTACCACTTGAGCCACATCCCCAGCCCCTCACTTTGTTTTTTAATTAATTCCCCAACAGATACACATAAATTGTTTTCAAGCCACTGGTATGGCCTATTCCCAAATTTTGTGGTAAAATGATAAATATATCCCCTTTAAAACTTTTTAAATATGAAATGACAGTTGTTTGGAAATGCCACAAAATAGATTAACAAAATATTTAACTTTAAGAGTTATCTCCCTGATTTACACTCATACCTAAGGATTTAATCTTGTCAGAAAAGTCTGTTCAGAGGCTGGAGTTGTGGTTCAGTGGTAGAGCATTTACCTGGCTTGTGTGAGGCCCTGGGTTTAATCCCCATCACCTCATATAAATAAATAAAATAAAGGATCCATTTACAACTAAAAAATATTTTTTAAAAATTCTATAAAAAAAAGTCTGTTCAACTTCTACACCCCAGCAAGGACAGTATAAGTGTCTAAATACTCAATTATATSATTAGTTTCTCCTTCCTTCTTTCCTTTCTTTCTTTCATTCACTCATTGTTTATCAAGGCAAGGTCTCACTATGTTGCCTAGGCTGGCCTCTAAATTCTGAGTTGAAGTGATCCTCCTTCCTTAGGCTCTCAGTAGTTGGAATATAGGCATGCCATCAGGCCCAGCTGCTTATGTTCTCTTTTTTTTTTTTTAAGAGAGAGAGAGAGAGAGAGAATTTTTAATATTTATTTTTAGTTTTTGTTGGACACAATATCTTTATTTTTATGTGGTGTTGAGGATCGAACCCAGTGCTGCGCGCATGCCAGGCAAGCGCACTACCTCTTGAGCCACATCCCCAGCCCCTGCTTATGTTCTCTTAAAAAGCTCCACAGAACCAGGAGCAGTGGTGTATGCCTATAATCCTAGCAGCTCCAGAGGTTGAAGCAGGAAGATTGCAAATCAAAGACCAGCCTCAGCAACTTGGCAAGACCTATCA